AACTCCAATGCCAGGAAATGCAGAAAGCTTGAAAGCACCGTGGTAATGGTGAAATCAGACCACGCAAGCACCCCAGACAAATCTGAGAATCATTCCCCAAATTCCATGAGAATGGCAGTCACCTTGGCTGCTGTGTCTCCTCGGGGGTGGGGGTGGAGGGGCAGGGAGGAGAGGATGTAATAAAGGGGATTAAGCAAAAATGGACCCACGGAAGGAGCTGCTATCTTGATACCATACCTTCTCCACCTCAGAATGGATACCATTATAGCAATGGCACTATTGTTTTAAAAACTTGAGAATATATATGGAGGGTTTTTTTAATTAATTTGGTTTTTTTTGGTGGGGGGAGCATTTGGAAGATTATTTGGACAACTTTTGCAGAAACAAGTGGCCCTGACCTTGTTTCACTTGTTCTGCTGAATTTATTTTGACGGAGAACCCAAGCACAACCACGCACCCTGTCTTTCTCTGATAACCTTTCTCTGCTCCTGAGCGGTTTACATCATTACTCTTGAAAGCGGAATGATGCATTTGATCTAGTCATGTTTGGAAATTACATTCTCTTCACCACTGGCTTATTAGCTTTAGGTCAGTGCCGACAGCTGCCTCGGTGTCCCAGCTGGGAACCCTGGCCTCAGTAAACATATTTCTTACTCTTCTCTGGTCCCTGGCCTGCTAGTCCTCATTCCCATCTGTCTGATGGCAGACCACCTATTTCCAACATGGTCAGAGCCTAATCACCAGGCAGGCAGGCCAGGCAGGGCGGCCTGGATCATAAGACAACCTCGGTGTCCTCACAGAGGTCATGCATGCAGAGAGGAACTGCAATCATCCTGAGACCGAGCCTTGAGAACCCTGTCAGGCATTTTGAATTTCGGTCTCCAGAGAGGAAAATCAGAATGAGATACTCAAAATGGCCTCCTCTGATGGTGCCCTTGGCACTTAATTTCACATTTAACCTTGTTGTAACTGATAGTCTCTCCTTGCCCCTCTCCTTCCTTCTCAGCTGATATTTGACATACTTTTAATAGGAGTACAGTCTTTAATCCCACAATTAATGGCAATGCTAAATATATACATACTTAGACTTAAATTTGTACTGAACTATAAATAGCTGCTTTAAAACTCTCCATAAGTGCATATTTTGATATAGGGACCTGGAGGGAATAGAGAGTCACTTTATTTGTGAAAGAAGGCAGAAGGGGCGAGGAGGGAGTAAAATGTGTTTCTGGAGGCATAAAGTGGTAAGAGGAGAAATTGGAGCCACAGAGGGAACGCAAATTGATTCCGACTCATAGCAACTCTAGAGAACAGAGCAGAACTGCCCCACGGGGTTTCCAGGGCTATAAATCTTTACGGGAGCAGACTGCCACATCTGTCTCCAACAGAGTGGCTGATGGGTTCACACTGCTGACCTTTTGGTTAGCAGCCAGGTGCTTAACCACTGCACTACCAGGGCTCCTTAATTAGAGCCACTGAGGGACTGCTTAGTCTCCCTCTTATTTTATCTTGAGTCAGGTGTTAGCCTCTAGAGAGGAACCATGAAAAAGTAACAAGAAAACAACTGAATAAAGATATAATTTCATGAACGCCTCTGCCTAAGAAATAGACTTTAATTTTTATACCTAAAAATACATCTCACTTGATTAAATTAAGTAAAAAGTTGAGGAATACACAGATATTTTTCTGAGTACACTTGTAACTTTTTTTTTTGTTAGGTAACTAATTTCATAAACGGAGCCCTGGTGGCACAGTGGTTAAGTGCTCAGGCTGCTAATCGAAAGGTCAGCAGTTCGAATCCACCAGCCACTCCTTGGAAATTCTATGGGGCAGTTCTACTCTGTCTTACAGGGTCACTGTGAGTCAAAACTGACTCGACAGCAATGGGTTTAGTTTAATAAACACTCATATCTAGCAGTATTTAAAACCATGAAATTGCCCAATTATCTTAGAATAAATTTATTTAAAATTTAACTTTACAAAGAGAAAACTGTTTTGTTTGAAAAAAACTATATGATTTTGCTAAATCTGCAGTTCTAAAGGTAATCCAGTACCCTTACTCAAACTGTAAAAATAATTCTGTGGGATAAGGCAGGTTACAGTCTTTACAAGTCTGGGTGTGTGAAATGTCAAAATTTATTTTATTGTATTTTACTAGCAATTTTAACTTTTGGGACATAAATTCCTTTTCTATGCATCATATGTTTTCCTCATAGGTGATCTTATCAACTAGATGAATAGAAAAACTCAAAAATCTTAGACTGTCCTTCAAGGCAAAATCTGCACCTAGACACTTACCTTCTTTGACTTTTTGTCCAACTGCTATTCTCCATGAATCCTTTGCCTCAGGCAGGCTGGTCCACTCATTGTGCTCACTTATACCACCTGGTTTCAGGTTCCTTCATGGTCAAAAGCAAAGCTGTTGTTGTTGTTAGGTGCACTCAAGTTGGTTCTGACTCATAGTGACCCTATGTACAATAGAACGAAACACTGCCTGGTCCTGTGCCATCCTCACAATCTTTGTTATGCTTGAGCCCATTGTTGCAGCCACTGTGTCAGTCCATCTCGTGGGTCTTCCTCTTTTTTGTTGACTGTCTACTTTACCAACCATGATGTCCTTCTCCAGGAACTGATCCCCCTGATAACATGTCCAAGGTATGTGAGACAAAGTTTTGCCATCTTTGCTTCTAAGGAGCATTCTGGCTGTACTTCTTCCAAGACAGATTTGTTTGTTCTTTTAGCAGTCTACGGTATATTCAATATTCTTCGCCAACACCGTAATTCAAAAGCATCAGTTCTTCTTCGGTCTTCCGTATTCATTGTCCAGCTTTCACATGCATATGAGGTGACTGAAAACACCATGGCTTGGGTCAGGCACATCTTAGTCTTCAAGGTGACATCTTTGCTTTTTAACACTTCAAAGAGGTCTGTAGCAGCAGATTTGCCCACTGCAATGCGTCTTTTGATTTCTTGATTGCTGCTTCCGTGGGCATTGATTGTGGATCCAAGTAACATTAAATCCTTGACAACTTCAATCTTTTCTACATTTATCATGATGTTGCTTATTGGTCCAGTTGTGAGGATTTTTGTTTTCTTTATGTCGAGGTGTGATCTATACCACAGGCTTTGGTCTTTGATCTTCATCAGTAAGTGCTTCAAGTCCTCTTCACTTTCAACTCTCAAACCCTGAAGGTCAAGACACATTTTGCCAAGAATAAAGAACTTGCTAGTCAAATGTGTCAGATCAGTAAACAAATAAAACCCTCTACCTTTTCTAGTTAAAAAAAGAATCTCCAAAGAGAATTTTTATATATTATAATGTTTCTACCAAAACATTATTTTTTTCTATTACATTACCATTTTATTATAAAACATTAATATTTTATTCTACATTAGTGGAATATGAGAGTGTATCTTACATGAATATTTCTAGCAACTATGATAAAAAACCCATTGCCATGGAGTCAATTTCGACTCATAGTGACCCTGTAGGATGGAGTAGAATTGCCCCACTAGGGTTTCCAGGGAGTGGCTGGTGGATTCAAACTGCTGACCATTTGGTTAGCAGCCACGCTCTTAACCACTGCACCACCAGGGCTCCAGCAACTATAATATGTGGAGAGAAGACTACTCCATGATTATCTCTTTGGTCTACGGTGAACTTGTTGATCTCACTTCATAGCAGTGGTTTCCTAACTTTTTGGAGTTTTGATATTGTATCTTGTTTCCTTAGTTTCATAATACTCTCAATTATCCTTAAAATAAAAATTACATATTGAAATGTTCTAAAGGTCATTTAAATTAGTTTTATTTTGAGATTGGCAGTGGTGAGTGAAACATGATTTAGTCATCACTATAGCCCTGGTGACTTAGTGGTTAAGAGCTTGGCTGCTAATCAAAAGGACGGCAGTTCAAATCCATCAGCGACTCCTTGGTAACCCTATGGGCCAGTTCTACTCTGACCTGTAGGGTCACTATGAGTCAAAACCGATTGGAGGGCACCTAACAACAACAACAACAAAAATATAAGCAGAAACACCTTGTGGTATTACAAACCCAAAATTGTGAGAGAGATTTTGCTTACCTCAGATTTGTATCTTTCTGTCTTATAGTTCTCCAGTGATTCTGAGGCACCACATCTCTTTTTTGGTGTATTGCTAAGTCAGCATTTACTAAACACTCTGCAAGAGCAGAGGGTGTGGTGTCAAAAAACCTACGTTCCAGTCCCAGCTCCGTTTCCTACCTGACTTATGGCGTTATACCAAGTTTCTGGACTTTTCTGCTGTAATTTTCTTTTTTTAAAAGCAAGGATAAATATCTTTGTCTAACATAACTCCCACAAATCTTGTAAGGATAAAATATAAAAGCACATGTAGACTGTAAAGGATTTGAAGCTCAAATGATATTTTAGGGTTGGATATTACTTAGCAACTATCTGGTCCATCTTATTCATTTTACAGAAGATTAAATATAAGGCCCAGGAATGGAGATGGGTTAAGTAAGATTACATGGCTGCGTAGTATGATATGCCCTTAAGAAATTCACCATGAAAATGTGTGAGTATAGTGGATTAGCCAAATTCAGCCTATTTAGCACTTCATTCAATTGCCCCTGAGTTATCAGTTTTCAAAGTTTAGCTTATTATCTTCTGAAGAAGATACAGTTGCAAAATTACAAATATGTAAAATGAGTGTACTCTTCAAACTCATTTAATAGGTCCAGTTGGATGTGAAATTCTTATCTGGGGCAAGGACCTATGTTAAACACTGATGAACCTGAAGAATATTGACTGAATTAGCCTCCTCCATCACTAAATCTACCATCAATGTTGTGGAAAAAATACTTTTGGGCATAGAATGGTTAATGTATGTGTTATTTGGTGATTTGTTTAACAGCAGAAGGGCATCCTTCGGAAAGAACTATCCTTGATTTTTCATTTGAATCGCAGCACGACATATACTTTAGTAAAGGTGTGTATTGTTATCATTTCATTCCAGTAGATGGTGAAACAAGAATCCATGCTGAAGGCTACCTTGCCTCTCTTTGCCAGATTCATTGTCAGCAATGGACTGCGGACCAAGCATGGGGTGTTTGAAGTCACACTGGAGACTGTGGACAAAGCCTTGCCCGTGGTAACAAGGAACAAGGGATTGAGACTGGTCGAAGGGGCCACAGGCTTGCTTTCCCCTGACCTCCTCCAGCTGACCGACCCTGACACTCCACTGGAGAAACTTACCTTCCTCCTGGCCCAGCTCCCACAACATGGTCAGCTCTACCTGCAGGGGACAGTGCTGCTTCAACCCAATTTCACTCAACAGGATGTGGACAACAGGAATGTGGCTTATAGGCACTCAGGAGGGGACTCCCGGATTGACCAATTTACTTTTGTGGCCACAGATAGGACAAACAAAGGCTTTGTTGTGGATGGGAGAGTGTGGGAAGAACCTGTTTCATTCACCATCCAGGCAAGTATGGCAGACAAACAGTTCATTGCCAGAGATGTGACTTCACAGAGAACCATCTCCTTATTTCCTTTCTTCTTTCATTCAAATACATATTGTGCATCTAGAGGCTGCCAGGCTTTAGGCAAAGAACTGGGCGCATTATCATGAATAAAACAGGCATGGTCCCCGCTTATGGGCTAATGGATTCACCCTGAGAGTCTGTGGTAGTACAGGTAGTCCCCAACTTACAACAGGGTTACATTCTGTTGACCCCATTGTAAGTCGCTTCTGACGTAAGTCAAATACTTCTTTTTTTTTTTTAGTTTTTATTATTATTGCTTTGATTATCAGTATTTTATAAATCCAATCTTTATTTGTCTTTGGGGGTTGGAAACATTACATATAAACATCTGTAAGGGAACATCTGAGAATGATAACATCAGCAAATTATGCACTATAGCACTGTAGCTCATATTACTAACAATAAGATGTAAAAAAAAAAAAAAAAAAAAAAAAACCAGACAGCTGTAAGTGTGACTCGTTGTAACTCAAATAAGTTTAAGTCAGTGATTACCTGTACAGAAAGGAGCAAAATACAATGGGCTTTGGAGTTAGACGGACATAGGTTGGAATTTGTGCTTTGCCTTTTGTTAGTTGGGTAACCTTAAAATAATTCTTTAACTCTTTTGGATCTACTTTTCTTTCTTTGAAAAATATGCATATCTAGGGCACTAGCATATTGCCTTGAACATATTAGATATCCGATGTCTAGTAACTACTGTTACGATGGAGTCCTTGGGCGATCCAAATGGCTAAAGCACTCGGCTGCTAACCAAAAGGTTGGAGGTTCAAGTTCATCTAGATACACCTCGGAAGAAAGGCCTGGTGGTCTACTTCTACAAAATCAGCCATTGAAAATCTTACAGAGCACAGTTCTACTCTCACACACATAGGATCACCATGCGTGGGAATCAACTCGAGGACAACTGGTTTGCTATTATGATAATGTTTGTTGGGTCATGTTATCTACTGGCATTTTAATGGCTTTCAACTAAAGAGATGAAAACTTACAAGGCAGCATCAGTATCACACATGTAATCGTGAGGGGGATAATAATAGCAGCAGCTACAAATTTTTTAGTGTTTACTGTAGATCAGACCCACTTTATGTCAGGGCTTCAAACCAGTTCCGTCATGGCTGATGAAGCGAAACCAGAACAGACCCAGATTTTAAAATTGGGTCATCTGGAACCATAACCAAAAATCCACTGCCGTCGAGTCAATTCCTACTCATAGTGACCCTGAAGGACAGAGTAGAACTGCCCCATAGGGTTTCCAAGTCTGTAAATCTTTACTGAATCAGACTGCTACATCTTTCTCCCACAGAGCAGCTGTGGGTTCGAACTGCTGCCAACCTTTGGGTTAGAAGCTGAGCACTTAACCACTGTGCCACCAGGGCTCCTGAACCATAACCAGAATGGGAAAAATTAATGGATCAAAGCCCTGGAACAGGAGACTTGAAAGAGGCAAAGTGGGCCCTTTCAGGAGCCTGATGCATGAGACTGGATTATTGCCAGGCCTGAAGAGAACAATACACATTCAAAGTGGTGCGGTTGGCCATCGTCTCTGAGCAGGGCACTGCTGTTTCCAACTCTGCACAAAATTCTACGGGCAGGAGATTCAGTTGCTATGCAACATGTACGATGCCCTTTTTTTCTAAAAGGGAGATTTTCTAGCAGGACTTTGACCTGTAATTTTTCCTGTTCCAGTTATGGTTCTGGTTCACCCAAATTTTTAAAATCTGGATCTGTTCCGGTGTTGCTTCCTCAGCCATGATTGAACTGGGAAGAACTGGTTCAAACCCCTGTTTTACGTGAATCTCATTTAATGCTCATAAAAATCCTATGAGTTAAGTTTTATTATTTCCATTATAGAATAGGGAACTGAGGTTCAGAGGTTAAATAATTTGATCAAAGACACATAGCTATTAAGTGGCAGAGCTCAATTCTTTTTGATCCCAAATTCTTTGTCTTTTTGGAAGCACTGCACTGCCACATTTGTGGCAACTATTTTATGATTCTTGGAGGACTTAATGTGTTTTTCTTTTTTTAGCCAAAATGCCTCAAGCATCTTCTGGCTCTCAAACCCTTAAATCCAATTTCCTTGGATGTAGTTCACCCTGTACAACACACTTCACCGTTACCTACTGGTTATGTAAAATAATCAGATTTCATCCTGAGTAGAAAGATGAGGAGTCATGATAACACAGAGTGGGTGCTAGGTGAGTTTTTGGCACCAGAGACCCAGAAAATGTAATGAAGTTATGGTTTACTGGGAAGAGAGAGAAGGTATTGATGACATTGACATAGTGTGTAAGAAGTGCTTTGTACATAGTAAAATTATTGTTTATGTTAATTTTTATTATGTTTTAATTATTATAATCCTACCTCACTCTCTAGTCTATTAATATCTTTTTCTTGACTCCTCCCTCCTCTAGGTTGAGAAATGTCACTCTACTGTTCAAACAGGAGTAATTTCCTGGCTCTGTTTGGCTACAAATTAGTAGTAGTTATGAATCCTGAGAGTAGGCATAAGAGCTTCCTACACTCCAGAGCAGAGATGGTAAAGAGGGTAGAGGTTAGAGAAGGTACCAGAGCTTAAATCAGGTCTTTCCCAACACCAACACCCATCTTAAAGAGCATGGTTATCCAAGTTACCGCTTGGAAGTTGTAGAATTTACTGAAAGGAAAGTATTGAATAAATGTTGTAAAGATTTTGTTTTTCCATCAAAAGTAACAGGATTTCCTTGTCAAAAAAAAAAAAAAAATCCTAATGTATAAAATCCTCACAGAGAAAGCCTCCTTCTCTCATCATTCCCCTGAGCCCCCTGGTCTCTGTAAGCAAAGAGGTCAAGTGGCTTAGGAAGTGGCTGATGCCCATCAGCAATCAAGAGAGACAACACCGTCAGTCTTTTGCCTTCAAAAGCTTTTTCTGACAAATTGATAGGATGGCATTCGCTAGTGAGTAATGAATTGGTCCAAATAAGTCTCTCAAGTGGAGGTGTACTACTCTTCTGGTCCACATGATGGGTACCCAGGTATCCAAGGGCAAAGCTGCTGGACTTGGCAAGTATAAGACACAGGTGCGTTTTATTGATATCAGCAGGCATAACCTGACATTCATTTTGTAGGAAAGCCATGTTTGTCTGATCAAGATACTGCAACTGATTCCTGGGGTCTTTTTTTAAAGGGGAGGGGGCTGGAGGGTGAGCGAGAAAGGACCAGCGTCACTTCTTCCTATACTTTGGTATTTCTATGATGATTTTCCATAAATCTAACATGAGTTATCGTAAGGATGCAGCCTTCCTAAAAAAAAAAAAAAAAAAAAAAGTACTGTATGCCAACATTTTGGAATGCCTCTATTATGCTGAGCCCAGAAGACCTACTTTTGAAGAAGCTAGAAGTTTAATAAGCCTGGGATGCATTTTAGGGAAAGTATGACCAAAGTCACAACAGGAGGTCATGTAACTAGAGTTTAGATCTTAACACTTTTTAAAAACAAATGATCACAACAGATGTTTATTACTTTTCTAACACTCTTGATTTTTAAGGAAAATAAGACATAAAAAATAAAACTGTGTTGAGCTGTTTATCAGCTTTGAGGGTATCGTACATGGCTTGAGGTATTTTTTATTTTCCTCTCCTTCCATTGTCCCTCTTACCGGTCCCCAGTGTTGTGGTAGTTTCTTCCCCAAAAGCCATGAGGACTGTTTGACACCTTGCCACCCCACCCCCAACTTCACAGCTCTGAGAGTTGTCACCCACACTTTTCAGGAGAGGAGGAGAAAGAGTGTGACTTTCTAAGTGCTGCTGTTTTAGTTAATAAAATAATTGATCGTTGTTAAGAATTTATAGACTACAAAAAAGGACAAAAAAAAGAAATTTCATAGTCATACCTTGCAAAGATAACTATTGGTGGTTTTCCTTCCATTCTTTTATTCCATCTGTGAAAGACAGAATGGGATAATATTACAGGTATTATTATGCACATGCCCGCTTCCACTCTTCATTATATTATGAACATTTCCTTATCTCATGAAATATACCTTGAAAACATGGTTTTTAAAGGCTGCATAGCACTCAGTCTCAGGCAGAGATGGTTTATAAATCCCATGTTAGAATTTTATGGTTTTGGGAATTTTTTGCTAACTACTATTGTAAATAAAATTCTAGTGAACACTCATATATACGTATATGTATTCATATATATATGTATATGTAGTCATACACACACACATATACACATATATGAAGTCCCTGGGTGGTGCAAACGGTTAATACACTTGGCTGCTAACCTAAAGGTTGGAGGTTCAAGTCCACCCAGAGGCCTGGTGATCTACTTCTGAAAACTCAGCCATTGAAAACCCTATGGAGCCCAGTGCTACTCTGACACACATGGGGTCATCATGAGTTGAAATCAACTTGACGGCCACTGTCAAGTTTGTGTATACATTTTTGTGTATATATCTAATTGTCTCCGTAGGATATACTCATAAAGTAAAACTTCTGACACAAAGGATATGTACATTTTTAAGGTTCTCTGTGGCGCAGTGGTTAAGAGAGCTTGGCTGCTAACCAAAAGGTTGGCAGTTTGAATCCACCGGCCACTCCTTGGAAACCCTATGGGGGCAGTTCTGTTCTGTCCTATAGGTTTGCTATGACTCGACAGCAACGGGTTTGGGTTTTTTGGTATATTGCCAATTTCTTTCCATAAAATTTTCACTAATTTGTACCCTTACCAACAAAATATAAAAATATCTGCTTCTCCAGTCATTTACCACCATGGTGTATAATTATTTTTATTTTTAGAAAAGAACTTTGCCAATTTGAAAGAAAAAAAATGTTTAGTTGTGACAAATTCCATACAGAAATACACAAAGGAGGAGTTGTAATTTTTCTACACCCAAAGATGAATGAACAGTTTTGTGCAAATGTTCCCAGACTTTTGCCCATACAAATACCTTTGTATTTAACAAAAATTTTTACGGTCATTTTCTATTCTATAATTTGCTCCCCTCCCCCCATTAACACTAAATTGTGGACATTTTAAAAGTCCATTCTACACATTATTCTTTTTAATAGTGGCATAGTAGTTTACTATACCATAATATATAAAATGGAAACCCTGGTGGCGTAGTGGTTAAGAGCTACGGCTGCTAACCAAAAGGTCAGCAGTTCAAATCCACCAAGCCCTCCTTGAAAACCCTGTGTGGCAGTTCTGCTCTGTCCTGTAGGTTGCTGTGAGTCAGAATCAACTTGACGGCAACTGGTAATGTATAAAATATATTGTGAGATTAGGAGAGATGGGAATGAAGGTGGTATTCTTACACCTGTTTTCTAGTATCAGTGGTGGATTTGTGCTAATCTATTTAAATTTGCTCCATTGTAACCTACAAGTTATTTGCAAGATAGACTGAGCTCTATACAGGCTGCCATATCTGAATGAGGCCCGTTATAGTGTTTGAACATATCTCCTTGTTTTAACAAATGAGTAATTTCCCATCCACCATCTTTACAAATTGAACCCACCTATTAGTTATTTGGAGCCCTGGTGGTGCAGTGGTTAAGAGTTACGGCTGCTAAACAAAAGATCGGCAGTTTGAATCCACTAGCCACTCCTTGGAAGTCTTAATGGGGCAGTTCTACTCTGTCCTATAGGGTCGCTATGAGTTGGAATCAACTCGACGGCAATGGTTTTTTTTGGTTTGGTATTAGTTACCTGGCCCTCAATGTAACAAATATTCATATGTTGCAAATAGTCACCTTTTTTTCCTTCTTAACTTTTTATTCAGCATTTTTGCCAATTGAACAAAGACATACAAACCCTTACAACTCTATTTCTGTATTTCACTGAACATTGGGAAAATGGGGAAATATATCTTTGGAGCCAGCATTAATTTTGCAGTGCAATTCTTGGGTCCAATTAAAATCATTCATTCAGCAAATATTCATTGAGCTATTGTTTGGACAGTATGCCAGGTGCAGGGAATAGAGAGAAAAAATAAGGGACAAAATTGGGGCAAAGTTTAAAATGGAAAGTTGGCCTCTGTTGCAGGCACTGTGACATGCTGAGGATGCTGTGAACAGAACAGAGGCTTTACCTTCATCTTCTTCATCCTAGTCTTCAGGTGAAATTAACAAAAGAGGAGGATAAGGAATCTGAAACTCAGGAGTTTGACTGTCATTGTTGGACCATTAAACTCTCCAGTGCATGGGGGTGAGAAGCCTTTGTATAACACTGCATGTAACTGTTGATGATGCAGGTGGACCAGCTGGACAAAACGGCACCCAAAATCACACACTTGCATTCTGCCTCTCAAGTGGGACTCCTGAAAAACGGCTGTTACGGGATTTACATCACCTCCCGCGTGCTGAAGGCCTCTGACCCTGACACCGAGGATGATCAGATCATCTTCAAGATTTCACGAGGCCCTCAACATGGACATCTGGAGAACACAACAGGTACTGGCTTCCTTAATCCTTGTAATTGCTCACTTTAAAATACTCAGTGGCTGACAGCGAGCACTAGAGAGTAATTTAATTAAGTGCATGCCAGTTGGTAAACACTCCCTAGGGCTTACTGATAGATGCAATTTATGAATCAATATTGGTGCTAAAGAGAGTTTGAAGCCCAGCTTTCCTAAATTCATCATGAGTGGGAGAACCAACTACTGATACACAGCTGTTTATTGTTTACAACTTTTTTTTTTATGACCAGATTGTAATATATTCAGAGGAACACAGAGTGTCAGGACCAGATTCATATTTTAACGAATTTTTGCTTCTATCATGATGTCAGTTCATTAAAAAAAATTTTTTTCCTGATGATTTCCCTGGATTGTATATTATTTCTAACTTTGAAGACAATGATTATATCACTAAACAGGATGGTACAGAATTATTTATACACTTTATAAGATAGTTGCAACAAGGTTAATTGCTTAAAAAAAATGTACTTTGGCCTTTAAAGCTGTATTTAGAATACAATAGCCATACAGTTTTATCAGCTCTTATTTAATGTTTTGTGTGAGTACCGATGAGATTCATTTATTTGTTTTTTGTAGGTGAATTTATCCATGAAAAATTTAGCCAAAAGGACTTAAACAGTAAGACCATTCTTTACATCATAAATCCATCTCTGGAAGTAAATTCAGATGTCATGGAATTTCAAATCATGGACCCTACAGGGAATTCTGCCCCTCCTCAAATGTAAATTATTTTGCTTATTCAATAGCCCTGCATGTAATGTTCAAAATGCATCTGATTAGGAAAAGTGAAAAGTGTCTTTTTCAAACTGAACCTAAGAGGATAAACTAATAGACCATTTCACAAGCTCATAGGATTTATTTTGGAAAGGGAATTTTTTTTTTTTTTTTTTTTACTACTGCTTGGTAGTGGAACAGCCATTAGCTTTACAGAATATGGAAACATTCAAAAATTAAGTCACGTGGTGCTGGATCATCCGTGTCGTACATGCCAGTGCACACACTGTTACACATAGAGGCTTCTGTCTGATAATTCACTGCTGTCCACATCTGAGCTTGCAGGCTCATGTATAAATGGTGCAGCAAGAGGTTACTCTAGGGCCGTGTTAGTAACCACAGACTTCTAAACTGTCTGGCACTGGGAAAAATGAGATAGGAAGGGTTGGGAAAATATCTTCTCTTTCCCATACAAAGAAAAAAAAGAACAATTACTTGCAATGGCTTTCCATCCCACGTGAGGTGAAGACAGTGTAGAGAAAACTAGGCTTGAAGAAGTGTTAAGTAGCACTTAGAATGTGTGTAATACATGTGACCCAGAATTAAGAAGAGTAACAAATCTTCCGAATTAACCAGATTAACAGACCATAGTATTTACACCCACTCGGTCCCTATTCTAGACTTTTCTTGAATGTAGACCTTGAATAATAACTTACCAGCTCTCTGCTGATCACAGAAAGGTTAATCATAGCTTGGTTCTCCTTGTGCTGTTTTTTTTTTTTTCATTTGATGCCCTTCGCAGTCATCTTGGAGAAGAGTTGTTCATTTACAGTAGTTTCGGTATTCACCATATCCTCGCCTTACTACGCACCATAGTGAGTACAGCCTCGTTATTGTCCATATGGTGGAATCTGGACAAAGGAAGAAAAGATTGCTGAGAAACAGACCCCTGGGTTTTTCATCCTTGCTTTTTCGTTCCGATCCTGAATTGTAATCCCACCATTCACCAGGAGAGGTCTCTGTAGTCATTGTTAGAAAAAACTAGCTTCCCCTAACAAACACATCCCCAGGCCCCATCTCCATTGCCCAGATAAAGTGTAGTATCCGGCTATCTCCAGCTTCAGATATATTAATTCCATAGATTTGTATTGAGTGGTTTCTATATGCCAGGCGCACAGTACTAGAAGCTGGGAAGTAAGAGTGAAAAAGGAAGACCTGGCCCCTGATACTAAAATGCGATCTTGAGATTATAAAAACTAAAAGGGATGATCACCGCCTATTATGATGCTATTGCCTAAGAGGAATGATTCCTCAGGGGCAAACTCTTTATAGAAAAATATATCTATTACTTGCAATTCCAGACATACGTTTTCCAGTTCTCAAGAAAATGTTTTAAAAAAATCCAGCTTCAAATACATTAATAAATTGATACCACCTTTTTTTTTTTAACAATTTTTTTTAATAGTTTAACTGAAAAATATAAGCATATCGATCAGACTTGCTTTTGACGTAATGCTGACCTCTGGTCCTCCACATGTAAACAGAGCATGGCTGACAGAGAATTTTTTTACTAGCAGGGGAGCTAGACTGATACCACTTCCCCACACACCTATTTCATTCCTCATTGTTACCAAGGGCATTGCTTTTGAAGATTTATGTTTTTAAATAAGCCCTGGTTGCACAATGGTTTAAGTGCTTGGCTGCTAACCTAAGGTTGGCTGTTCGAATCCACCCGGCGGCTCTGCGAGAGAAAGACCTGATAATTTGCTCCTGTAAAGATTTACAGCCCAGAAAACCCTATGGGGTAGTTCTACCCTGTCACTTGGGACTGTTATGAGTCAAAATTGACTCAACAGCTCCTAACAGCAAGCCAATAAGTAGAATCACGGTAGAATTTACTTAATGTAATTTAACCTTAATTGAGATAGTTTTAAACAGGCTCCTGCCTTTGTTCTGTATCAGTTTTATGTGCCTAAACAAGAGACGTTTCTGATTCAACTTGAAATGATTGGAATCAGTAGAACAAAATAATGCAGATAATGCCTATCAAGGGTTACTTATAATTTTGATTTGATTCTAGTATATATTATTTTCTTTGGAGTGGATGGGGGGAGGAGGAAGGTGGAAATTACTCAGCATTTATCTTTATAATTTTTGAATGGTATAGTTGTCCCCTAACTTTCCAACTCATTTGTTAGTAGGTTTTTTTTTTTTTTTGGTGCTAGGAGTACATTTTGCAGTAAGAAGCAATCTTATGAGTAGTGGGCCTCCCAAGACAGCCAGAAAGAGCCTGGTTACATTTACAGTATACATCACATCTGGTACATTTGCAATGTAATTGTTCTCTGCTTTATTTCACTGCTATTCAAAACCACCTAGGAGTTAGGTACTATTATAATCCAGAATTTACAGATGAGGAAACTGAGGCACAGAGATGTGAAGTGACTTTTCTAAGCTCATTTAGAAATTAGTGGAGCTAGGATTCAGACCTAGTAAACGTGGCTGTTGTCTGAGCCCATGGTCTTCCTCACTACACTGAAGGCCTTCTTGGCTACTCTTAATGACTGTGCTAAACTGAACTAGAGGGAGCAACCGACTCATCTCCCTTGTTTCTCTGCAGACATTGGCTGCAGGTTGCAGAGTACTGGTATTAAGATTAGTGGGCATTCCGAGTCTGCCACACTGGAATTATGATATAGATGATAAACCTCTGGACTTGGAGCCAAAAGGCAGGACTTGAGCTTTGATTCTGACATTAATTTAGGTGATTGTTCAAATCTTGGTTATCTCATCTGTAAAATGAGGGCAATATCACATTTTGTTTAGGGGAACAAATGAGGTAAAATAGATGAAAGCATGTTGTATACTGTAAAGTCCTTAACAAATGTAACTTGCGGTGTTGATTCTGTTGTTGCTAATTCATGTGGGTACAATGATTGACCATTTGAAGAAATATCCTGGAAACATTCAGTGGCCAGCTAAAGCTCACCTCTAATTAGAAATTGATTCTGAGGTGATTCACAAAGTAAATCAATGTGCTTATTAATAAATAAGCGAAATGCTGTGGAACTTTGTTTTCTTTGGCTTAGACTGGGTGAATAGATTTATATTCTGCATATTTGAAGGAGCAAAAACCTACTCTCATAAAGCCAAAGGGACAAATGGGAGCAATCTGGAACAAAAGGAGGCTGTTAAAAATGAGAAGGACCCAGGTTCAGTGGGTCCCAGGATCTTGATTGCTACTGAGTTTTTGCTGTTGCAACATTAACTACAGAATACCAGTCCTGAAGAAATAAGAAGTGTTCCGTAAAGAAAGTGTTAGAATATGCTAGTTCTGACAAGATTAATCATGTTGTTGCTATCTAGCTTGCTCGCACGCTTATTTAACTGCATCACATCCTGAAGTCAGCAGATGCTTGCCTGAATTGGGAAGCTCAGAAAGGGATTATACAGTATGCAGTTTGCCTCATCTCTCAACCTGAGATGACCACAGAACCACCTCTCCCACTCCCCCTGAATGGCTCACGCAACAATTTTTTCATAGAATACATTTGCTAAACACTATTATAAATGAAAACTATTTTATAACACTGAAATCCACGGACATTTGCATAAAGATTTCGGTTTGTCTAAGTGCCTAAATTTCAGGTACTGTGCTAGGTGCTTTTACATATGTTATCTAATTTAAGCTGCAAAACACAATCCTCTGAGGTAGAAAAGGAAATCAGCTCAAAGTGTTTAAGTAATTGTCCAGAAGTCACTGAGTTGGTGAGGGGCAGAGCCAAAAGTGTACCCTTGCCTCCTGACCTCAAAGCGAGGCTCCTAGTATTGGCTCATGCTTTGGCATCACACACTCACAAGCCCATGTCTGTCCACTAGTGAAATGTGAATCTCCCAGATGATCTGCAGAACTCCCAATAAGTTCCACAGGTCCCCATTGTTCATCAGAAAACCTTTGCAGACCACACAGTGTAGCTAATTCTGACTAACGTGGTTCTCCTAATACGTTTTCCACACTGAACTTTTTCTTGCTCCTGCTGAACAACGTGGCATAAAAAGAAAAGTTGACCTACGCTGAAGTTCTTGATAACTCAGTGGCAGCTTCTCTGATTCTTACCCTCCCTCTGTTGTTATTAGCTCTACCCTTAAGTGGGTCCCCTATTCGTGGTGACCCCATGCACAAAGCCATCCCCGTAATTTGTTGTGGATTGGACCGTTGTGATGCATAGTTTTCATTGGCTGGTTTTCCGACGTAGATTGCCAGGCCTTTCTTCCTAGTCTGTCTTGGTCTGAATGCTCTGCTGAAACCTGTTCAGTGTCATAGCAACACACAAACCTCTACTGACAGACCGGTGGTGACTGCTCAGTGGCTGGGAATCAAACGTGTGTCCCCTGCATGGAAGGCAAGAATTCTGTCATTGAACCACCAGTGCCTACCCCTCCCTCTGGCTACGTATATTCTAGCTGTTCCAGGATTCATTCTTGACCTTAAAAGAGAAGGAACAAAACAAATAAAAAACAAAAGGAATTTCTAACAGGCGAACCGTGCAGTGTTTTAGCAGCTTTTATGAAACACCTTGTAGGGGAAGAGGTTGAAACGATTGGCTAGATAAATCTTCCACATTACCTGCAAGTCAAGAGTTAAAGTAATTGTCTCCAGACTAAATTTAGGAAAGCACACAGAAAGGGAAGGGAAATAGCACTTATTAAGTACCCACTGTGTACAGGTGCTTTATGCATATTAACTAATTTTAATTTTAATCATTTGACGTGAGTATAATTCTCCTCATTTTACAGATAATGAAAACTGAGGCCCAGAGAGAATGAGTGACTAACTGACCATAGTCACACGCTAATAAGTAGTTGCAAGGTGTATGTGACTCCAAATCACTTGTTTTGGATCCTCACTCTGCTGCCTCCAGGCTAAACACTGTTTTCTCATTATTGTGAGAAAAAGACAACATCGAAAACACAGGTGTTCATCACATTAGATAATGAGGCATAATA